CCTGTTTGATCACCAGAAAGCAACACGCGGCCCATTCCCAAGATATTCCCACTCTTTGATCCTTTGGATCCATTCCGTGGCATGGGCTGGGTAAATCCCCTGGCATGGGGAAGAGGCTGTAGATGTTTTACATAGCCGGCCACAGTGACTGCGGTGTGTTCGGACGAATTCTCGGACCTTCGAGGAAAGACGGAGCACGTCTCGAAGAAGGACCTGCCGGCGGCCATTTGGAGCAAGCCACTGGTCGTCTTACTAGCTGACTAGCTCAGCAGGGAGCGATTCGGAGGATGCCGGGGAGTGAGCTCGGGGTATCCATGTCATGTTCCCCATCAAACTCATTCAACAAACACGAAGCCATTTGGAGCGACAACAACGGCCCCTTGCAGCAGTATATCGTCTTCCATGGCCGAACTCCATCAGCCCCGACACGTGTCGGAAGTGAGGTATGCGAAGACCTCGGAGTTTAGCGTTTTGGCCTTCAAGTCCAAGAAGGCGATGAAGGGCAAGGCCAAGGCGGCGCCCAAAGCCAAATCTAAGGCGCTTTTCCTTGACTCCTACGTCACTGGGGTCGGTGGGCAGGCGTGATTTGCCCTAAGCTTTGGCACGGCCTCGAAGAAGTTATCGCGTGTTTGCAAATTGAATAGGGTGATAGCTCGCGGTTTTAGGGGAAGTATCTCAGAATGGAAGGAAGGGCATCCTTCGTAGTGTGCAGCGCAGGAATGCGTTGCAGCATCCAACTGCATGCTGTGAAATTACACCCCTGCTGTGCCGGTCCCGCAGCATTCTGACCGAAGACACGGCGGTCCCGACTGCTCATGGCAACCCTGAGCCAACCATTTCAATGACCATTGTAGCACATCACTGCAAGAAGATGTTGCACCATATGCATGTAGGCAGGCAAGCATGACTGCATCTCGATTCTTCCGGTCACCCCCATGCCCAGCAAGCAGGCCAAACTACCCTGACATATATATATATATATGTAATGTTATATTATGTCATTCCCTGAACATCTATATACAAGTTTAGATACAAAATGACGCCCCCCAAGGGTGGTCAGGTGAATTTCACCGGGAATCATTTCTCCACCGAACACCGACCACTTTTGGAGTTCTGGGATGCGACTGGACCAGCGACCACTTGACAGGGACTCGACTGGGGCGGACGGTTCAGCGGAAATCGGTTCACCAGAAATACAATGGATGACTCCTTTAGGGGTGCAAAGGTGCAAAAAAGGGGCATGATGCCGATGTCAGGATTCTATCCACTCACTCAGAGTCTGAAAAAGAGATCTCAGGAGCGCGTTTCAACGGTCGACGCCCAAAAAGCTCTTTGGACCCTCAAAATGACCCAAAGAATCCCCGTTGACGCTCTTGGACAAGCGTGAGGGAACCTCAAACCATGCAAGACTTCTGAAGATCTTGGCCAAGGACCAAGGTTCACTGGAACTACTCCCTACGAAATTGTTGAATGGCCCAGAAGTGATTGAAGTTGTATATGACATGTCCGGTGAGGAGGACCTGACATGTGTTTCCACAATCCGTGGACTTGGGAGGCAAAAGCCAAGTCCACCGCGATGAAGTCCAACAAGTGAGTGCTACGTAGGGCGACTGGCACTGTGTGAGCCGGGCTCCACGTGAACCGACATGAATGGATGGCTGTTTGAGTTTACAGCAACAACTAACTTAAAAAATTCAACATATTTCAACTACTTGTAACTACACTATATCTTGAGGCACTCATGAGTCACTCATGGCAAGCTTTGGTCGAACTTGAGTGAGGTTTGCGAGACAAGCAATGGTTCACAATTTGTTTCTTTAGGATGGCGTGTCGATCGCCAAGAAGACCCCAATCGCCTCAGGGGACGGCGGGGACTCGATGCTTGGCGACCAAAACTGGTCCAGAACGGGCCGTCCATGGTGAAGCGGAAGGCAGAGGAAGGACACTGTCCTGCCATTTGGCCCGAAGGATGTGCATGAGCTTCGGCCAAAGTTTTACACGACTGCAACAGGCGCTAGCAAGCTAGCAGCTAGCTTGAAACAACATGAAACAACCAGCTTTTCAGCATCGATGAAGAACATGTCGCCTTTGGTCAACCAAAATCAGTTTCACTTTGGCTGGTTGGGATGGATCTTTAGACAGCACCCCTGACCTTGTCAGGCTTGGTTGGAGGGCAGTTAGAGGTGTCTAACACCTTTAAACGTAACCTCAGCCCAACAGGCAGATACAGAAGGAAATGTCACTGTGGGGAGTCCCAAAGCTAGAGGAAGTGTTTTCTTTCTTTTCCATCACACTTTGGAAGCTTTCACGCAATATTTTTCCATTTGTCCCAGATGCGCAACAAAGCAGCTCCTTCTCAGGCCTCATGGACTCATGGATCTGGCAGGTACTTCAAGACATTCTCTTGACTGTTCACATACGAAACTCCTCTCCCCCACCGCGGCTTGCCGCCATGGACTTCGATGACCTGGAGGAGGCGGAAGGCCAGGAAGGGCCCAAGCTGGTGGAGCTTCGGAAGCTCCGCAGCCCAGCCACTTGGTATTGGAGGGCCAAAGTCCTTTGGGAGACTTGAAGCGGAATGAAGCGGAATGGATCTTGCATCATCTTACCCTACAAGAATTGGCAGCCGTCGGACATTTTCATAGCAGGGGTTTTGGACCCTCAAAACCCTTCCCATTTGAGGGTCCGGATTCTTAGAGTAAGAAAATAATCAAAGAATCTCAGATAATGATACATATTTGCAAATAAATCCTCGTTCTGATTTCCTGTATGAAATGGGGTGTCTCAAGTCCACTACGTTGAGGTGTTTTTAATATTTTGCAAAAAACAGAGGTTGAGGCACCTCTTGTTGTAGAGATGAGGATTTCGTAGCGCAAGGCCTTGATGCTGAGATATAGAGGATGGGTCCCTGCAATTTTGTAGTGCAGATTTGTCATTTCAAGATGATTATATCCGATGTTGGGTACGTCCATAATGTAGTGCAAATTTATGCAGCATTTTGGTGACTCAAAAGCGGGTTCATACCATTTTGTAGTCAAAAACATTGACAACATAGAGATTGGGTCCCACGACTTTTGTAGTGCAGATTTACTGTTTCTTAAGATGATACTATCTATGTTGGGTCCAAGCATTTTGTAGAGAAGCAGGGTTGGGTCCTTGCAACATATATAGTACATGTAAATTTGTGATGTTGGGTCCCCAGTTCTGTTGTACTACAGAATGGGGGCCCCGACCCCACCACCCTAATTGGCAGGGGATGCAAATAATGTGTTTGTTTCTTGTCATTTGGTCCAATGTTCGATCGCATGACATCAGTGGGGTGGGTGGCCCATCAATCATACCGAGGAGTGGGAGATGCTTCGGTGGATGAAACAAAGACATCGGATACACTCCATGTATGCCATATATGCCTACATTGGGGTGGTTTTGGGGGGTCAATGGGGCGGCATATATGGCATACATGGAGTGTTCGGGAATGGTTTGTTTCTTTTGTTCCGACATCTTGTCATCTTCAAAAGATCGGGCGATATCTTTTATTGTCCGATGGGTCAATCTCCTCATGGGGACGCCCCCACCGTCGCAGCCAGGCATCGACCGGAGGTGTACGAGCGCTCCTGAAGTCGGCCACTACATTTTCTGAAATAATCATGGAAGTGGATGGCATGGCCCCTTGGATAGCCTTGTAAAACCATTTTCCTCTACAAACAGGGGTTTTCCACTTCCATGACAAGTTCAATGAATGTAACTTCACCGATGGCATCACTTGGTATTCAGAAAACATGGTCATCCAAGCGGTGGGGCCATGCCGTCATTGGGGGGGCCATCCCGCCATGCCATCCACATAACCATGATGTCAGGATGAGCTCACGGCCATGCCGCATCCTATGCCCAAGAAGCGGGGCTTCGGCGGCGGTTCCAAGCGCACGCAGAAGGCGAGGGCCACAGCTGTGAACGGAGAGCGCACAAGAAGGAGAAGGAGGAAGAATGGGAGGAGGAGCAGGGTGAGACGACAACGGAATTCAGCTTTGATTGAATTCCTTGCAACTTGTTATATATAACTTATATACTTATACATTGATGCAAGTCCGAAGTGCAAGTAACTAGTACTTTTCGAAAAGAACAAGTTTTACGAGTACCTTTTGTTGTCGGAACCCGAGCCCTTTTATCCAAGCGAGTTCACATCACCGCACTAACGGCACATAGAACTTGCAAACATTACATGCGCCCAATTGTTTAATTCATGCAAGCAAAACAACTATCAAGAATTGTAAAGCTTAAAAATCCTGGTCACGATTTCCTTACATATATTGCAAACATTGTTACGCTCCTGTTACAGTTTTGGAAGATCATTTGCACTTTAGAAGCTCCTGGAGGGGGTTGTTACGGAACTGTTACGCTAAATAGTTGGCCAACCATTCAGACTTTGTTGCTTTCAATGTCGATTAATTAGCCTCAAAACCACCAAGAACACCTGGAATATCACTCAAAATCGACTTTGATTCCCTTCCAAATCACCTGAAGAGATCATGAACACTATTTTTGGCTTTAACGGAACTTTAGTGGGACCAAGTAAAACTTGGCTCTAATAAAGTAGTGGTCATTGTCTCCAATTCTATGTGAACAAATTTAACGTGGTCATTGACTTGTTGGGTGTGCTCCCGCATGCTTCTTCGTATATTACATAGCTTGCCAAATGGTGGTTCTGGCTCAGGCCAATTCCAGGAGGGGACCTCCTTTGGGAAATCTTATTCCATAACGATGTAAAAACTGGGTGATGGTCTCAGAAACCGTATGTTTAACAATTTTAATTGGTATGATTGGATTGAACCCACTGACATCCACTTGACTATATATAATGATTATACAATATGCGTTTAAATAATTAGTTGAAACCACCAACCCATCAAGTAATTTGTGAAGAAAAACACGTTGGACCAGAGGCCGTGTGCGTGTCCCGGTGCTTTTTCAGCGCCACACATGTGCTTTTTGGGGGAACCCCAATGATCGCCCAGGTGCTTTATTTGCATGGCCCTGGCTCCAATCAAGCGATGGCGGAAAAGCAAGTTCAAGCAGTCTTTAAGCCACTCAGCTGATCTCTGTCTTGAAGCTCGGTTCGTGGATGAGACCCGGATTGGGATGAGACCCGGATGTTCCTGGGTCGATGTTTCTGAAAGTGACTTATATACTCACTTTTACACACAAAATCTGAGTTGTATACTATATAGGAACTGCATTCAGCCAAGGGGTTCATCATGCAACCCATCTTCGCTTGTAGCTGTTCACCTCGGACATGCAAACTCAGGTCCCTGCAGTGCTGAAGTGGCTCCACCCGGACAATCCAATGACTCTTTTGGTCCACCACTGACAAACGAGGGTAGTCTGTGGAAAACTAACATGGACCCTGGAAACCACTGGTTTGTAGAGGAAAACAGTCCTCCCGTCCCATTCTGAGAGTGTAGCCCATGGGCGTGAAGAAAAAGGGAAACCTGCCGGGGCAACATCAGGCGTTCCGAAGGAACATAGATCGAAACCCAGCCAGGACCAGGGGGTTCTCTCTATTAAAAGCACACCCATCATAAAATGAGTCGCGGCTCCTTAGTCCAAGGGATGTCACCCTACTGGTCCAAGCGTGCGGTTCCGTGCGTGGACGACGGACCGACCCACTTGTTCCTTCGTGGTTCCGACGGACGTGACGGGTGGCGCGGGACGTGACGGGTGGCGCGATGGGCTCCGTGCTGAGGAATCTCAAATGGGTGGTGGACTTTGATCTCTTGGAGTGGCACTACTTGGAGGGCACCATCAATCAGAAATTGGATCTTCGTTTGACAGTTCATGGTTTGCTTGTCACCTGACACCAGTTGGTAGTCACCCGAACATGTCCATATGCCTTTGAACACTCTGAAGGGCAGGTGAAATGTCACCCTTTGAGGAGGTATATGTAGCTGTAGCTGATGACCAGTGTAAGGGTCTTGACACGGCCATCCCGAAACAAACCATCATCTACAAGAAGAGGGGACCCGTTCCACTTGCCGTGCTTGCCGTAGGTGCAGCTTTGGGGGGAGAGGCACCCTGTTAACGCAAAGAAATACACTCCCAACTCACGAACATAGAAGTGGATAGTGTGGTCATGTAAGTCATATAATTATGGTCCCTTAAGCTTGGAAAGACCACTTTTCCTTGACCAAAAAACATGCGGGACATGAATGGTGTTCCGTCCGTTGTTTTGTGGGTTCCTCTCGGGTTTATCGGGCCTCCAGCGCTTTCCGAGAGGAAGAGATCCATTGGGACCCGGCCGTGCAAAAGATCTTTGCACCCTTCGGACGGCCTTGTGGAGACTCCTACGATGGTCGCTTCGCTTTGTTTTTGTTTGCTTGCAACGCTGGGGCACCATGCAGTTTTCACGGTCTATCGCGCGATTTGTGGTTTGCGCTGGATTTGTGGTGGTCAAGCATCAATCCCTGTTTGGAGCTCATGAACTGAGCCTCCCCACCCTGCAAAAGTGCACTCGTGCACCAGGGCCAGGGCCCAGGGTGGGGGCTGTCGAAGCCGGTTGCTTGAGGTTATATGAGCTACTTGAAGCTCTTAGATGAAAGCCATCAGCAAGAAACCTGGCTGGGCCCAGAAGAAAAGGAAGTTGGTTCTGGTGCCTCGGTGTGATTTGGCAGGGAAACCAAGATACCAAGAAGCACGATGATAATCTGTCATTTCTCCAGCTCGGCGGTTCAAAAGTGTGCCTTAAGAATAAGGCACAGCGCAGGTGCGTTTGTCTCCCCAGAAAGAACTCTTTTGAACCAAAGTTTGGTATAGTTTCTATTTATATACAGGATGAAGTCTTCCGATCGGAAACGGGCTAGATTCACAATGATTCACATATAGGAACTGCGTAATAAGGTTTATACCGTATACCCTCCTCCAACAACCAGGAAGTGGACAAACCCCTTTTGGTAGAGGAAAATGGTCTTCCAAGGGGCTGATTGTTTCAGGGAGTGTGCCAAGACAGACCTGAGCTCGTAAGGCATTGTACCTTTGGGAGGGTTTGGCGTTGGTTGAGAATGGATACATGTTCTTTTCAGACGGCTGGCTGCTGAGGTTTTACAATCCCTAGGGCCTGTAGAGTAACTTTTGAGAAGGTGTTTGAGGTGGGTTTGGAGGGTCCAAATAATACCTTCTGAGGAAACACTTGGAGCCCTGGGGAATTTCATACATCTTCCATCATCTTCCAACGCCATGTCATTCATTTCAAGTCTTTATGTATTACTGTATATTATTATATATATATTCTTCGCCCTGTTTCTATTTGCACTTTGCATGTTAAAGATACGGCTTTTACTGCAATGCTCCAGATGTTGTTTGAGACATAACCATTTTGGGAAAAACAGTTTGAGTCAGCAGCCAGAACACCTGTGTTGCCTCGCCTCAGCCTTGGATGGCGTGATTTTGGACTCCAAGGTCTTCCTATAGCGTTGGGAGTCCAAAGGAGTCGAACTTGAGAGTCGTCGAACCAGGGTTTCCCCTGGTTTGGCTGAAAGAAGGTGATTTCATATATTCTCAACATTGTTTCCGTAGGCCTAGGTGGAGATGTGTGTTTCTTGTTTCTCTCGGTTCAATGAAGCAAATCCAAGTCTCCGAGGTTACGACGAGGTCATCGAAGCCTTGGCGGCGCATTTGGCAAAGACCGGGCCCTACGACGGCCTGTGCCCTCGACTCGACGTGGAGTGGTCGTGGTCAGGAGTAGTATTGGTCCCGTTTCAGTATTGACATGCTCATAGGTTCACCTATATACCCAGAAGAAGTGGATATCCTTGAGCCATGTTTGACCGTTTTGGGGGGCTTCCCCACCAAACGGTCGAACATGAACGAGGACGGGCGCGGCCAGAATCTCAAAACATTGCATTTCGATTTCAGTGTTTGCTGTCGGTCATTTGTTTCGTGCATGTACAGGTTGTGTCCATGTGCGTCGCCTCGACCGGTGAGTTTACGACGCCGTAGATCAATACGATCTGCACGACGGGTACGAACAGGTGGAAAAACCGTTTAACCATGGACCATGGAAACCTAATCGTGTTTTTCTCCGGGGAAACTGAGGGGTCCAATAGCTATTTTGCAGGTGTGGCCCGAAGGGGATTTCAAGGACCTGGTGAGTTGTTTCACCAAACAGTTTGGTCAAACTAGGATTCGTTCTTCGTCGGGTTGTGCGGGAGTGCTACTCCCGATGCGGCGAAGGATGCGGCGAGAAGAATCCTGTGGAACGGAGTTCGTTTGTTCCATGCCAGCTGTTTAGGTGTGTTTGCTCAAAAGGACCAGGTCAAAGTGGGATGGCCTTGGTTTTTTGGGACCTCCCGTGCTCAGTGGCTTAATGGAGTGCCAGGACGGCCATGCCACCCGTATGCATCAGGAAACTTCCCAAAAGATCTAACCTTACAATGGCAATTGGAGGTTCAACTTCTGCAGTGGCAAAACTTTGCTCAGCTAGTGTTGGGAGGACAGATTCTTTAGGTTGTTTGTTTTGCTTTGTTTCTGGTTGAACGAAGGGCAGGAATGGCACTCATTCCCCTTGAGTTTTGAGTGGCTGGGGCTGTTGTGGCGGTTGCTTTTCTAGGTGTGGCTTCGACATTGGAGCCAGCTTGGCCTTTGACCTGGCGAGCCGCCTGGTCACAAGGGTCAAGAGTTCCTGCGTGCCCCTGCACACTGCAAGTGTTGGTAAGGGCTAGCTCATGCTAGCTCTCTTTACTGACGACCTCTTCTTTGGAGTTGCCTTATAAAGCATAGTATCACACTGACGGGCTACTTTCACTTGTGCTTGATTCATTGTCGCCACATCTCCCTCACATGGACCATGGACTCGATTCACCCACCAGGCTCACTGGACACTGCCGTCTCCTTGGCCGTGCCGTTGACGGCTCAAGCGTGCCATGTCGAGACCGAACGACGCGTGACGCGCCCGGGGCCCATCCGAAAGACTCCACGGTCGCCCCCTCCGTCCGATCCTCCTCGTTCCATATGAGATGTCGCGAAGCACCGAGAACGCCGGTGCCTCGCAGTGCGGAAAAGGCCGCTGTTGGTGCTCGGGTGCCATTTGGCTGAGTCTGGTGTTCAACGGGGAGGCATTAGCGGTGGTCAAAGTCACCAGATCAGAAGTGAACTATCAGGGCTTAGCCGAGCCCTTTGAGAGCATCACTTCAGCGACTTCAGAGTCTCTAGCTTCTTGGCACTCTCCAAACATCTTACGGTACTCGCCTGACTGGTGGGATCGAAAAAAGAGACGCGGATTAGGCAAAACAGGAAATGTCAGGAAGACCCTTCACTTGGGTTCTGCTTTTTCTCTCCATTGATCTTGGGTGTCTTTGGTGTTTTTTTCTCCACCTGTCAGGTGAGGGTTGTTAGATTCAATGTCAGCTGCCTTCCTCCTTCTCCTCCTTCTCCTTCTCCTTCTCCTTCTCCTCCGCCTGCTCCTCCGCCTCGTCCTCAAACGCCAGCTCCGGATGGCAGTGTTCCCCGCCAGACCTCAACCGCAAGTCGCAGGATGGCAGTGCAGCGTTCTTTTTATCTTTTTTGGACCTCGACCCCCCAGCTCCGGATGGCAGCGCCCCCCGCCGGACCTCAACCGCGAGTTCCGCTTGGCAGTGTTCCCCGCCGGACCTCAACCGTGAGCTTCGGCTAGCTAGCAGCCTCCCCGCCGGACCTCGACCCCCAGCTCCGCATGGCTGTGTTAACCGGCGGACCTCAACCGCAAGTGCCAGATCACAGTGGGCATGACCACAAACACACACGTTACACAATACACAACCACAACCACACACAGACAAACCACAGCCACTCTCACAAACAAAGACAAAAACACATAACCACAAACACAGCCACAAGCACACAATCAGAAACACATAGCCACAAACACAACAACAAACAGAAACACACAACCACAAACACACAATCACAAACACAATCACAAACTCAAACACACACACACAATCACGAACACACAACCACAAACACACAATCACAAAAACATAGCCACAAGAACAACGCACTAACAATCACAAACACTGCCACAAACACAAACACACAAACACGAACACAACCACAAACACACAACCACACACACAACCACAAACACGCAATCACAAGCACATAGCCACAAACACACAATCACAAGCACAATCAGAAACACACAGCCACAAACACACCACCAACTGGAGATCCTAGCGCCAGGGTAGCGCTTTTGGATGCCAACTGGAGACCGTGGCGACACCCCGACGCGAACTCCTTAACTTAAAATAGCAATCCCAAACCCGAGGACCCAAAAGCAAAATCCAAAACTACAAAGCCCACGACCATGGCAGCATGCTCCTCACCATGTATGAAAACAAATCAGGAAAATATCATGGTGGTGATCACTCGAAGTAAAGCAATTCCTCTATTTCAATGTATACACACATACACCACCACTATATTGTCTCTATTAGGTGCAGCTGCTTTTAAATCGTGTTTCCTGAGCTGATCGAAGGGGTGCGACACGATATGGGTCTCCAAATGCGAAAGGGTCCTGCAAGGGCCGTTGGTCGATATTTCCGGCGGTCGGTATGGCTGTGGGCCATGGCCAGTGCCATGACCCACAGCCATAACGCTTGTTTGCACCAGAACGACCAGCCAAGGACAATCGGAGTGAGACTGTTTCGCAACTTGCAGCTACACGAGGAGCGGTCGTTTCTATCCATGGCAGCGCAGACAACTCTGCTGATGTCTCACTGGCTATGGTCCCGGCATACTATGTGAAACTCAGCTAATAATATGAGTTCACGTGAACATATTGGTTTGCCTACTGCATAAACAACATTAAACAACGAAGTGATGGTGTTGCTTGTGAGTGGCGAGGGGGGCAACAACTGGGTGTGAAAGATTGTTCAAGTGTTCAACTACTCAATTTTTGGCAAGTTTCAGCTAGAGCCACACATGTTGTCAGCATCCAGCAATGATCAGCAATGTAGGCCCTTGATGAATAACACCCCCCGGTCCCCCATATGATGAGGGTTTTACAATGCAAATTTGGGGGTTTATTCATGATTCATCAAGAGAGTGCGTTCTCATATCCTCACCCAGAAAGCGCTCACTGTTAAACGGGCGCCGTTTGCAGCTCAACCCCGGGCTGTTGCAGCATCTTCTATCGTTCGCCAGGTCCTCGGAACGACCCGATGAGATCGGGTGGAGGGGGCGTGGATCGGTGCCGGTTTGAGATTGGCAAGCTAAGCCTTGAACAAAAAACACCAGATGATCAAGATGGATGAATTCCAATTAGTTCAGAGGGTCAGAGGGAGGCGAGAACGTGAAGTAAAAGGAGGGTCAGAAGTGTCACCAACAGCAGCCAATGAACGTTCAAATGCGTCCGACCCTATGATAAGGAGTTCTATCAACTATATAAGTGTCTTCAACGTTTTCTTATGATAAGACCCTTCGCCACGAAGGCTGGTACGGTACCAACTCGGATTAGATGCAGGACATCCCATGAGCTGGTGTGAGTCGTAGAGCCGAAGAAAGATTTGGGGTTAGAGTGCTCCGGCTTCGCTACTAGTAGTTTCTTGTTCCTAGTAGTAAGGCCAGGAGCTACTAGTAGTTTCCAGCAAATTCTTCCAGATCGGCTCACCCTCACTCCTACAGTCTCC